AAAGAACCTCTAACTTGCATCATGTTCAACGTCATAAAGTTGTGTTCGATGCGAATGCGATTTTCACACCCTTGGAATCCATCTTTTCTCTACCAATTCAACCAAATTCTTACAACAATTCAACATGCAATTCGTAAATCAACACATATCTTTATAAAAAACCTCAATCATCAAAATATACAACATGCAATAATAACTGATCAAAGATTCACCAATTTATTTTTTAAGCAAGAAAAACCCTAAAATACAAGATATCAAGATTCCATCTCTCAAATTCAACATCAATACCATCCAAAAACATGAATTAACTCAACAAAATCAACTCATACAACATAGAATATTAAACTAAAAACTTCCATTACCTCAATTGCTCCAAAAAAAGAATAAGGAAAAAGGAAAGAAAACTCGAGAAATCCTAAATTCTCGTACAACAACTTTGTCCTATATTTTCTTGGCTTCTCAACTTCGAATCACAATATAACAACTTAATCTAAGCTTTGGGGAAGGATCAAAACTCAACTGTGGAGTTAGTAGGAAGTAAGATCACTAATGGCTCCAAAGTCTATCTTTTCAACCTTTTTATAATTATTAAGGAAATGAATTTATAAAGTTGAAGTCTTAAGAAAATCTTATATATCTTTTCATAAACTTTGTCAACTTTAACATCAACACAAAACCACTCATAAATTCATAAGAATTCTTTTATCCTTAGACTTTAAAAAATTAAAACAACAATTCACAAAAATCATTTACTTGTTAAAATTAATTAAACAATAATACAATTCACAGTGTTACATATATAATAATTTTATAATAAATAATTTATATTATAATATAAATTTTATTTAAAAATTAAAATTTAATTTTGAAATAAAAATAAAAATTATAAATTAAAAGAGATAAAAAGTTTTCTTTAAAATTTTTTATTATTTAAAAATAAATAAAACCCACTTGTTAAAATATAGTTCTTAAAAATAATCTCAATAAAATTATTTTAATTTATATAAAGAAAGTTTTATTTTACTTTGTTCTTATATTTTATTTTACCACCATCCTCAAATGTATTTTAAAAATCAACAGTAAAAGCCAAAAAAAAAAAGACATGTAAAAGTAAATATATAATGTAATTTGAATATATCGACCGTGTAATATTTACATAACGTAGCAATAAATTGATATATTTAAAATAACTTTAAAATTAATCGACAATAAAATCATTAGTGTTTTAAGCGGTGTATTATATATAGATTTTGAAAGAATATTTTAACAAAAATATATTGTAAATTTTAATAAAATTTAAAAGATTTCGAAGGATAGCCATGATTTTTAAGATTTTTTTTAAATACTTTTAAAGCATGAACTTTAATCAATAATTTATAATTCAGATTTTAATAGATTTTAACCGATTTTAATAGATTTATATCATAAAATTTAAAAGATTTTATGAATTTCACGTGAAAACATTGATTTGTAAAATACATTTAATGCTACAAGAATTACTAAAAAAAACAACATAAATAATAAAGAAAAATAAAATCAACACATTTTTTTTCATCTTTTGACAAATAATTGACTCTAATGTTCTCCGAACTAACATTTCTCCACATATATAAAGTTATATCAGTCTTTTATGTATTGACATTTTTCTTTCATGCTTTTGAGTCTAAATAATATGTTCAAAATTGTGATCTTCATTAACTAGTAGCATATTATAAGATGAAAATTCATCTACTAATTCTATTGAAAATTCATCAGAACAACGTTTTTTTGCGAAGAAAGTTATGTAGTGTTACACATGTTAATACAAGTTCAACTTGTGTCTCAAATAGAAATTGAGGCCTTCAGTTAAAAATTGTGAAATGTGATTTGAAAATACTAAATATTATCTCGATCAAATTTCTTAAAAATGCATGATGTAAGTTGAGCACTTCATTTTTATTTTTAGGGTTATTATCATGACATACAAAATCTTGAAGATGACACTGCACACCTCAAAATAGAGTTAAAGATTAACGTTTGTTAAGAAATTCACAGTTCACTATAAATTTTTTTACCGAATTACATATACAACACATAAAATTAGTATGAAAAAAAAATATAAAATATAAATATATATATATATATATATATATATTTGTGTAAAATCAAAAAGGAAGCTTGTAAAATCAAAAGACAATCTTGAATTCCTCAAGAAGCTATGAGTTTTTATGATAACAAAAAAAACTTTTCAGGAGACTATTTCAGATGGAACATATATCATATTTTGTCTATAAGATGAAATACACCCGACGAAGCATTAAATTTGTATTAATGATACATTCATTTCTCGTTAAAAAAGTCAAATTATTCTTTAAAAAACATTAATACTTTATTCCTTAACAAAACAAATAAAGAAGATTCCTAAAAAATAATGAAAACTTGCATAAAGGAAATGTCAAATCGTTGTGTTAGGATAAAAAGAAAAAAAATCTCGAATATCACGAAAAAGACACTACAAAAGACTTGTGCCAAACTCAACTACTCTGCTCTATCACTACTTTTGCTATGAAGGAAATGATGATAAGTAGCTATCAAGACCAAATAAGAGATACATGCTTCACTGAAAGACATTTAATGTTTGCATTTAATCTATCAATGGTAATCTCTAGGATTATACTCAACGTTACTGTAACGATCATCTTCTCTAAAGTTACTATTTAAGGATCAAACCTTCAAACACTAAGAAGAGAACACATAATACACATACGAATAAAAGTGTTGAACATAAAAAGATCGACATTCACTAAGCAATTTACACTGATCAAACATCTTGAGAACAAAGCTGAAGCATTACAAAGAAGCTTTTCATTGTAAATCTTGTACATAGTTCTTTGTAATTTACTTGTGTTGTATTTCCATAACATCACATCTAAAAGAGATGAAGCTATCATTGTAACTCTTGTAAAATTTATTTGTAAGGATTGAGTCTGAAGAGGCTTGTAAAAAAGATGAAGCTATCATTGAATCAATATAAAATATTTGTGTCCCTTCATCGGATTAAATTCCAATATTTCATCTGTCACAACTTCTACTACTTCACCACATATTAAAAGCGCGAGTTTTTGATATACACTCTTCAACCTCTCTTCTAGTGTTTATCTTTCTCTCAAATTATTTATTTATTTATTATTAAAAAATATTTACCTTGAAACACTTTAAGTTCATTTTTCATTATCAAAACATCGCTTAATAACTTGGAATTATGAGTTGATCTCTCGTATCAACTAAGAACATACGTGAATTCTAAATCAATTTACAAGCCACTAAAATATTTCGTGATATCTTTCCATGATGATTATGATAATTGTTTACATCTTATTCCCTCACCATTGTTAGAATATAAGTATCATCAATAGCTCAAATGCAATCCAAATTTATTTTAAATATTATTAAAGTTCAACCATTATAGTTCCACCAAAATATAAACCAAATACTTGAACTAAAATACAATCAAAATGACACTTAAAAAAATATTGTTCAACAAAGCATTAATCATCATAAATTGAAGTTTATCCAAGATGAATGTTCTTTTAATGACATCTTAAATAAAATACCCTTCTTTGCTTTAGCATCAAGTAAATCAGCAACCATAAAATGAATTTTGTCATCCAAATTTGATATTTCTTTTATAACATCCTAAAAATTGTTATCTCTTTCTCTCACTCTTTTAATCTTTTTCTCCTTTCTTCCTATTTTTTTTCTTTAGATATTTTTCAAAATTAACAGCGATGGTCCCAATGCCAATAAAAAAAGTATCTAGAACTTTGACATGATTGCCGGTACCAATTGAATTAGAACTCCTTCCACACTTGGATTTACTTCTCTTCAAACGACTTACTTTTTCAATAGGAACCTTCAAACTTACAAAGGGATTAGATAGTGGACTACATTTCTAAAATGGTGAAAGTTGATAAGATGGTTTGTAGTTATATGTTTGATAATTTATACATCAATATTGATAAATAAAAATACAATTAATTTTTTTGATACATAAAAAGGATAGGAGAAAAAATAGAGAGATAAAGAATAACAAATAAATGAGAGAGATGAACAAAAAAGTAAGAAAATACAAGATAGAGAAGATATGAGAAGAGATAGGGAAGGGAGAACGAGTAAGAAAATAAAAGATGAGAGAGAGAGGAGAAATATAGAGAAAATAGAAGAGAGAGAGGAAAAAAGAGAAGAAAAAAGACAAGGAAAAAAATGAGAAAAAAAAATAAGAAAAAAAATCTGCTAAATTTCAAAAATTTTGATAAAATTATTGGATGAGTGAATAATATAAAAATTCTATTAAAAAATCTCACAAAATCTATTTTTTAAAATAATATATTAAAATCTCTATGTTTTTGAATATCAATAAACTTTTTTTCAAGTAAAAAGAAACCTTAATGAAATATCACAAGATTTTAATATACTCCTAAAAGAATCTTAATTATCTTAATTGAATATTTTAAAAAATTATAATTATCTTAATTAAATATAAAAAAATTATAATAAAAAATCTTTTAAAATCCTTGAGAATCTCAATTCAATTCATCTCGCAACAATTTTCATTCGAATATTACTGTAGATGAGGGAATCCCCCAACAAAAATCAGCAAGAAATTATGATAAAATATATTTGAGCAAAAGCTATGGTTAGAATAATGACTAAAAATTAGTTGTAATTGTATCGATAACTGTTAATAATAACTATTAATAGAATTATTTTTCTCGTTTGAATTATTTTTTTTTTCTTTTTCTATTTAGTTATATAATAATTTTTTTATAAATAATGAATAAAATAAAGAAATATATCCATGTGTATGTAACTGAGTCGCGAGTACCTCACTCTCCATAATAAGTAAAAATATTTCATTGAAATATAGGAGGGAATCGAAAACAATATGAACACGTGAATATAAAATATTAGATGAATGAACCCAAAAAAATCCTTAAATTGTGATGCTATAAATATCTCAGAAAAATCAAGAAACGCCTAACCCCACCATTGCCTTCACCGCGCTTTCTCTCTCTCTCTGAGTCTCCTAACCCTCTCTCTTTCTCATCCCAATCCCTTTTTCTTCTTCTTCTTCCCTTCGCCTTTCAGATCTCCCTCTCTCTCCTTTTATTTTTCTTCCCTTTTTGTTTTTTCTTCGGTGTTAGGATCTAGGGCTTTTAATTCCCCCCTTTACTTGCACCGCTTCACTTTTTTCTGTTTTCTCCTTTCTAGGGTTCCGATTTCCCCTTCAATTATATTTTCCATCAATTCCTCTTAAAAAAGATCAAAAATTGTTTTCTGGGTTTCGGATTGTTTGATGCTTTCATTAGTCTGAGAAAAAAAAAGAGAAAAAAATATATTTCGTTTTTGGGATATTTGTGCGCTGAGATCATGGGGAGCTCTGAAGGGTTGGGAACGCCGGCGAAGGAACACGGTGTGACGAAGCCCATATCAATGGCTGGCCCAACGGTTACTGATTTGCAAAGGACTCTCGAATTAGAAAAGGTTAGTTAATTTCAATGTTTTGTGTATTTGTGTTAAAACACAACACGCTTTTTTATTTTTATTTTTCAAGGGTTATTGATTTGTTTATTTATCTGAAAAATTCTTTGTTGGCTGTGCAAGTTTCTCGCTGATTCGGGGCTTTACGAGAGCGTGGAGGAAGCTGACAAGAGAGAAGAGGTTCTTCACCGACTTGAACAGGTAAAGGGATAGTTAGAGAGAATTTTGTTTTCATGATTCCTCGTTGTGTTGCTGAGTCGATTTAATTGATCGGTGGCAACCATTTATGTTGATATTCTTGTATCGATTGATGATTATGTCAAACTAGGAGCTTTAGTGGAAAATATGGAACTATGTTTGAAATTACCTGGGTGTTTGTTATTGTTATGGGGGGCTTGGTCTAATCGAGTGTTAATACATGTATAATATTATTTATAGTTTGTATATTTTTTTTAGTTTATCCTGCTGGTGATAATTATCAATATAGTTTGAATTGTGGTTGTGTTGGGCATTACACGGTTGTGGTGGCCACCGCAAGTAGATGTATGTAGGGGCTGTATCAGTTGACGTGGTCCACTTATTGTGGCCCTGATTTTGAATGGCGTGATTTACTGTCTATTGAAGCTATTCTGTAGTGTTTTAATGCAACTTGTGTAAATGATCTTTTTAACAAGAATCCAGTTTTAATTTGTTTTCTGTTTTTCAGATAGTAAAAAATTGGGTGAAGCAACTAACCCACCTAAGGGGATACACTGATCAAATGGTGGAAGATGCGAATGCTGTCATTTTGACTTTTGGTTCTTATCGGCTTGGGGTTAGTATCTTACTTCCCTTCTTGACATGCACACCTTCATGTTTTGTATAATTTGTTGTTGACCCAAACAACAATTTATGCATCTTTTTACACTGTTTGGGAATTCAATAATCTTACCAGTTTGCAAGTTATTGTATTGGTTTTTTGTTGCTGAACATTGTTTTTACTTTTGAATGTTTGCTGCACTGATTGTTTTATTAATGTTTTAATTAAAACCCATTTTTATTGTTTTTATGTTGCAGGTTCATGGTCCTGGGGCTGACTTGGACACTTTGTGCATAGGGCCCTCCTATGTAAACCGGGAGGTACATTTGAGAGTGTAAATCTTTTTTACCGTGTTCTACAACAAAATCATTCTTAATTTTTGTTTGGTTTTTCATATTTTCATCATCAGGAGGATTTTTTTTACACATTGCATGATATCCTAGCTAACATGGAGGAAGTCACAGAATTGCAACCAATTCCAGATGCTCATGTCCCAGTTATGAAATTCAAGTTTGATGGAATATCAATTGACCTCCTTTATGCTAGTATTTCTCGGTTGATTGTACCTGCAGTAAGTGAAAGCATTTTCTTTTTCTACTCATTGCTTGATCAAAAGAGTCTCCCAAGTGAAAGGAGCAAGCTTATTTCATTTATAATCAGTATCTTTGCTTATAATGTGCTAGTGACCTGTATCATGCAGGTTTTGTAGTTTGTGTCATATTTTGGAACTTTGTTTTGTTTTGAATTCATTAACAGGATTTGGATATATCTGATGTCTCTGTTCTACACAATGTTGATGAGCCTACTGTGCGAAGTTTGAATGGCTGCAGAGTTGCAGATCGAATTCTAAAGCTTGTACCTAATGTTCAGGTATTTTTTAGGTTGCTGCTTGTTTTTTTATCGTGTTAATTTGTCCATTTCATAATATTTATGGTGCCTCTAATACCTTTTTCATGCATGAATTAAAGCATTTTCGTACAACACTTCGTTGCTTGAAATTCTGGGCCAAAAGGCGAGGCATTTATTCCAATGTGAGTGATATTTTAATTTTTAATCCTCTTCTTCCTCACTAATCATGTTAATTCATTTGTTTGCTTTGAATGTCTACTAATATGGTTACCAGTTGTTTAATAATATTTCTTTTATGCCTTTTCAATGTTTATTTTCAGGTGACAGGTTTTCTTGGTGGTGTTAACTTGGCAATTCTTGTTGCTCAAGTGTGCCAGTTTTATCCAAATGCAGTTCCAAGTATGCTTGTTTCTCGTTTCTTTAGAGTGTATACACAGTGGGGGTGGCCAACTCCTGTTATGTTATGCCCAATAGAGGAGAATGAGCTTGGGTTTCCTGTTTGGCATCCTCGTAAAAATCCTCGAGACCGTTCCCATCATATGCCAATTATTACTCCTGCCTATCCTTGTATGAATTCCAGTTATAATGTTTCTACAAGCACACTTCGTGTTATGATGGAACAGTTCCAATATGGCAACCGGATCTGTGGGGTAGACTTTCATTGTTGAGTTTGTTCATGTTATGGATATTAATACTTATTTGTTATAAATAATTGATGATTGATTGCTTTTGCCTATAACAAATCCAGGAAATAGAACTGAACAAAAGTTGTTGGAAGGCTCTGTTTGAACCATACAAATTCTTTGAAAGCTATAAAAATTTCTTGCAAGTTGACATAGTTGCTGCTGATGTTGATGACTTGCGTAGTTGGAAAGGTTGGGTGGAATCACGCCTTCGGCAGCTGACTTTGATGGTATTGTCTTTTTTTTTTTTTTTTTTCTGTGGGGAAATTTATGACATTTTTAAATTGGTACATTAGATTTTTTTGAATTCTCAATGGCCAGGATCAACCTTATTTTTAGTCTCAGTGGATGATGTTGGTTAATGTTTTCAGATTGAGCGTGACACCTTTGGGAAGTTGCAGTGCCATCCCTATCATCGTGAGTTTATGGATACTTCAAGGCACTGTTTTCATTGTGCTTTCTTTATGGGTCTGCAGAGGAAGCAGGGAGAGGTTGTTCAAGAAGGACAACAATTTGATATACGAGGGACAGTTGAGGAATTTCGGCATTCTGTTAATATGTACATGTTCTGGAAACCTGGGATGGGCATTTATGTTTCTCATGTTCGCAGACGGCAAATCCCATGCTATGTGTTTCCTGATGGTTATAAACGATCTCGACCATCAAGACCAACATCACATGAGAATCATAAATTATTTCATGAAGAGGAGGTTTCTCGGGCTGTACATGAGAGAATTCGTAAGAGGAAGAATGATGATGGGGTGGGTGTGATGCAGAATGGTTTATTGAAAAGGAAATCTACTAGTCCTCCTGAGAATAGATTGGCAAGACACAACAGCCTTGGTGCTGGTGGTTTCTCAGTTGATGCTGTGTCTGATAGTCAAGAATTGAGAAATGTGGAGAGCAATCATTTGTCAAACAGTGGTCAAGATGAGTTGGATAGAACAGAGTCTCCTGAACCTGCCTCAAATTCTAGTGTTATTACAAATGATGGTGGTTCTTCTGAAGACAATGGATATGTATCAAGGGCAGGGGGTGTTGAGATGATCGACAATGTGCGATTTGAGGATACTACTTATGGGAATGATTCTGTTTCACCTGTGAAAAACAGAGCGGAAAATGGAAATGAAGTATTAAATGAGCTACAGGAGCAGTTGCAGGTTTTAGCTTTCAATTCCTTCCAAATATTCACTGTTTTACTTTTTTTTTTTCTTCTGATTATTTGAAATATATTTTACCATTGCCTTGTTAGTGCAGTACTTTTAGCCATTTCATCATTTCTTGTTTTCCTCATTTCATTGCAACCCTGTATATAGATTGTACAGCCAAGTGCACTGATGTGATGTACAAGGTCTTCCCTGAAGATTACTGTAAAGCTAAATTGCAATGATTTTATGGCTTTTAGTGATGCATTATATCTTCACTAAATTTCAGTGAAACAGTAGACAATATAGCAATATACCCCTCTAATAGAGGGGTTATAGTGTACATTTCAAGAATTTTGCACGTTTACTGCTATATTGTCTCGATTTTCTTAACTATTATGGATAATGCTGTGAACTGACCAGTTTACCGTTTCTTTTTCCGGTGCTTTTTTGTGAAGCCAAATGCAATGCTAGGGATGGTTATTGATTCCGCTGGAAAGCTTCATTCAGAAGCTGTGCAAGAGCCGGTGATAAGGCATGCTCATGTTTAATAATGTTGTTTTTACAGCTTGTCTATCTCAAATTCGTCTTTATGCTGTCTCTTGTGCTTTTTGTTGTGTAATAGGAGATTGAGTCTAGCCTCGACAGTGTGAGAGATAGGTAGCAATGTCTTGAAGTGGACATTTGTGCAGTGGGGAAAAGAGGAGAGCCAGCAATTTGGGTAAGTACTAATTTAAATGCTGGCTTTCAATTCTCTAATTTTTTCATTCAGGCTTGCTTGGCCATTCAAGCATGCAAATTGGAACTGATCCGCATCAAGCTGAAAGATCAAGCAGCCCTTTGTACAGTTTGCATTTTTTTTGCTCTTGACCCAACTAACTTCTCTAGAGTTTTGTTTAGGATTTTCCCTAAACATGATATAGGGGCATATTTGAAAGGCTTTTGCTATTGTTTGGTTTTTTTTTTTCCTTTTAATTTCTTTGTTTTCCTTTTTTATAGTTAGAGTCTGGGGAGGGTTGGGGGGGTTGTTTAGTGTTTTCTAGCAGAAGGGACTTTATGTGCAACTTTATTCTGATATTGTACTGCCTCTCAGAGGTTACCATATAAAACTTGATAATATGGCAACTGCGAATGCGATCTTAACTATCTGCCCTGTTTCTTTTTTTTTTTGGTCATTTGCTTATCATCAAACAATTATTCAATTAGTAATTTTACTGGCTACTTCCAAAACCGTGGATTTCAATAGTTAATACGGAACGAATTTTATCAATCATAATTCTATATCATCAATATTGTGTGTAGTTGCATGTTGGAAACTAACAAATTTGCTTTCCTTCTAATTCGTACTTTTCAGTGCACATAATTCAGAAGTTATACCCGGACAAGGTTGGACAATTCTATTTACACTATAACTCCCAATTTAAAGAATAATATAAAACCCCAAAATTTATCTTAATCTTGAGACGAATGTTTTAATGCACGTCATCGTTTTTAGGCTGCGCATACCTAGGACTATTCCTTAAGGGAGTGATTAGTTGGAAAGAAGTTTTTTCATATTTAGAAATAATGATTCTTGAACATTACAAATTTCAAGAATCATGATTTTTGAAGATAATTATTCTCTTATTAATAATATTCATATAGTATTTTAGAGAATTACGGTGTTTTTTGGTTATAATAATATATTTTTGAATATATAAATATTTTTTATTAAAATAAATTTATTAAATATATTTATGTACTCAAAATTTTATTATAAATATGACATTAGATTATTTTAAAAATTTAAATAAAGTTTAATAAAAAAATATTATATTATAATTAAGATGAAAAATATATTATTTAATTAAATTTAATAATAACTTTTTTAAAAAATGTAATAAATATCATTAAAATGTATAAATAAAATAGACTTTAATAATATTATTAAATTGATAAAATTAAAAAATAACGAAATCTATAAAAAAGAGAGAAGAGAGAGAGAGAAACCTCCTAAAGGAAAATTAATGTTTGTTAAATATGACTTTTAAGTATTATCACATTAATGGAGATTTTTTTTTTGTTCGTCTCTGGAGTATCCACCGTCGACAGTAGTGACTAATCTCCTCGCTACGTTAGTTCCCAGAGCTTGGGACCGTTTGTGTGTGGGTCTTTCCTTCGGTTCTTCATTCTCTCTTCCATCTCTATTTTTTCTTTACCCTCATTGTTTTGAGTGGTTCTACCCATTGTTTTGTGGGGTTGGATGTAACCAACGAACTCTATTGTAATCCTTACGTTTTAATTAATGATATATATACATGTTGTTTTATTCATTATTGTGTATGTTTCTATTCTTAATGCTTGCTTTGGATTGATTCTCCTTGCATGATATAGGTTCCATTGGGTATTGGAAAATAACCTTTGAAACTAGCTCTGAAACAAATGCCTAGTGGGAAATGTATCTAGGTATGGAGCTTGGCCCATTAGTAGTCTTAAACCCTAACCCGTAATGCGGGTGTAGGTATTGGATACTCAAGGCATTGATATTCATTATCCGCACCTAGACTCTTGCTCTAAGGGATTAGGTTTGAGTAAACTTATGGCTTGACTAAGCAATGGATATAACAAGAGATTAATGATTCATTAGTGTGACGTTCGGTAATATCTGACCCCACAATTTCACAAAACCATAATACCATTTCTACCCCTTTTCCACACACAAACCAATATTTTTATAGTTTAACATTCCAGTAGTCATACTCTTCAATTCACATTTACATGACAAACTACAAAATTGGAATTATTCTTTAGTCAAGAATAGTCAATAAATGCTTATTTTACCTACTAATCCATGTGGATATATACGATAATTTTACTACTTGAATGACCGGTATACTTGCCGTGTTTGAGACCATTGATAGAACAAAAATGATTTAAAGTGATAACAAAAGTAGTTCAACGGAAATCTCAACAAGTTTTTGGCGCCGTTGCCGGGGATTAGCAAGGCAATTTAGTATTTATAGCTATTTGTGACTTGTTCCTTTATTGTTATTAATATTTTTATGTTAGCAATGAATTCTTGGAGCTAACCTGTGCACTCTAGTCTTCTGTTTTCTCTTGTATACAAGGTATTATTCGAATTGGATTGACTCATTCTTCTGAGTCGTTGTTGAGCAATCCTGAGATTGAGCACATGACAAGGAGGAACAATAGCAACAGGAGGAGAAGGAGAATTAGAGCAGTTCAAGTTGGTCACAGTCAGGCTCGGGACAGTAAACAAGCGGTTCCTGGGAGGCAACCCAGAGATTTGAACTTTGTTTATGTGTTTCTCATCTCATTCGTGTTTTAGATTTTAGTACTAATGTTTGTTATGCATAGTTGTTTTGTGTTATATGCTGTTTTGTGTTATATGTTAATTGTTAGAATCATGCTTGAGTGGGTAAATATAGGGTACATCTCATTTGGAGTGTGAGGAATGAGGTAACTCTGTTTCTGGGTGGAGATAAGGCCTTCTCTTAAAGAAAAGTTAGGCAAATTGACCATGTAAGTGGCTACACGCCGGGTGTAACTCTTTTGCGCCCGGCCTAGTAATCAATTTTTGGTCTTTGGAACCACCACGACGGGCGCGCTTAAGTCACGTCCGGTGCAATATCAGATTTGGAACCTCTTGGACTCTTACTGATACTAAGCCCGACGCATCTATTTTGCGCCCGGCGCACAACATTCCTGACATCCAATATTTATTTGTTTTCAATCAGGTTTCTTTATGTACTGTTTGTGTGTTTTATGTTGCATTGTCACAGTCCATTTCCGTGTGCATCCATGTTATGCTTAATTTTGGTCTAAGGATATTCTCCATTTTGCTATATTTGCTTGGTCATCACTGTATATATTTTTTTGTGCTCACCATATTTTTCATGATTACACTCCAGACCACTCCCGGTTACCAGAACTTTCATGTATATACTGGTTGGCCTGGGGACCAGGCCCCTAAGTTTGGGGGAGTAGTGGAGTTGCTGATGCTGACGGAGCTGATGATGGTGGAGCAGCCCCTGGAGATGATGATGACCAAACTCCATAGACTAATGCAGATGGAGTTTATCTTAGTTTACCTTTTATGTTTATCGCATTTTATTTTTATGTCTTTTATTTTTCGTGATTTAGCCTTAATGTAGTTGTTTATGTTTAAAACTCTATGGTTATATTTAGTTTCTTTTTGGTGATTACTCTAGTTGGTTCAATTTTTTGTGAATATTCTACTTATAGCACGATTTTTAATCTTGTTGATACTTGCTTTGCTTGTGGTCGATTTTGGATTGTGGTTTACTTGATGTTTGTGGTGCGTGTACCTTAGACATTTTCAAGTCACGTTAGATCTTAATTTAGTTCATGACTAGTTGCATACGGGTTTCAATGTTGATCATAGAACTGAGTCAAGTTTGATAATCTGTGGATGCATAGTTTGAGCCTAAATACTGATGAGGCATTGATATTCATTATCCGCACCTAGACTCTTGCTCTAAGGGATTAGGTTTGAGTAAACTTATGGCTTGACTAAGCAATGGATATAACAAGAGATTAATGATTCATTAGTGTGACGTTCGGTAATATCTGACCCCACAATTTGCTAATAGTTAATGATATGCCTGTGTTACTAAAATTGGTGGCTAGGAAGCTAAGACCGTACTGAATCTGTTTGGTTTCTATTATGTATTCCTCATCACCTTTTTAGGAACGAGGAAGGACTATATTATGCATTGGACCTTGGAGGGACTAATTTTCGCGTGTTACGTGTGCAATTGGGAGGCAAGGATGGTGGTATTATTAGTCAAGAATTTGCTGAGGTGTCAATTCCTCCTAATTTGATGGTTGGGACATCAGATGTAAGCTCCTTTTTACTCCCACTCAATTTGAAATTCCTCTTCTTTGCTTACAGTTGTTTTCTTTACTTTTTTTTTCTTTTCCTAACAAATGTTGATCTTTGTGCAAATCATATGAGAAACAAGACCAATCTAAAAAAATTGTGATTCAGGCACTCTTTGACTATATTGCAGCAGAGCTTGGAAAATTTGTTGCTCAAGAAAATCAACCTCCTGCTAGACAGAGAGAGCTAGGTTTTACCTTTTCCTTTCCTGTCATGCAAACGTCAATTGCTTCTGGGAATCTTATCAAGTGGACAAAAGGGTTCAGCATAGATGACGCAGTAAATCCTGTTTCCCGATTGCTTTGATGCTTTTTACATTCTTTCAGACTCAATATCTCCTCGTTAATATTGTTGAAACAAATCATTTTTGAAAATCATGGATTTAAACTGTAGAAACTATTTTTCTTTCACATTTGCATTTGTATTTATGTTTAGTTGTTGTTTAAATAGGTTGGTCAAGATATTGTGGCGGAATTAACAGAAGCTATTCAGAGACAAGGTCTTGATATGCATGTAACAGCTCTGGTAATTATAGTTTTGTACTCCTTTGTATAACATTAATTAAGTCACAAGGCTTTCAAATCTCTTGAGAGTTTTTATAGATCTCAAGCCAAATGTAGACTCTACTTATTCAGTATGTATTCTAGGTCAATGATACAGTTGGGACATTAGCAGGAGGTCGATATGAAAACAACAATGTCATTGCTGCTATTATTTTAGGCACTGGAACAAATGCAGCTTATGTGGAACGTGCTCAAGCAATACCAAAATGGCATGGTCCTTTGCCAAATTCTGGGGAAATGGTGAGCAGTTCCTGTCTTACTTTCCTTTGGTTGAATGTGTAGTCTTAACAATGGCTACATATTATTTGATATGAATGATGGATTAAGAATATTGAAGATATATGAGATGACTCTAGGTTATCAACATGGAGTGGGGAAACTTCCGTTCATCTCACCTTCCATTAACTGAGTATGATTATGCATTAGATGCTGAGAGTTTAAACCCCGGTGAACAGGTGAGCTTGTGTTAGTTCTATGTTCCATCTTTTCTTCCTTAATAGATGAGGTTACATAATTATTTTTTTTACCATAATTCAGATTTTTGAGAAGATAATTTCTGGCATGTACTTGGGAGACATTGTTCGTAGAGTACTATGCAAGATGGCTGAAGAAGCTTTCTTTTTTGGTGATGATGTTCCCCCAAAACTGAGAGTTCCGTTTATGCTAAGGTATAACGTTAGGTGTTTGATTAGCCACTTTGTCAATGTGATTTTTTTTTATTCATTATTATTTTTCTTTCGGTTGTCTCTCCTCCGTCCCCTTAAAACTTGTTTATGACAGTTGTTGGATTTGAAGAAAACTTATTTCATCGATTGCTAATAACTATGAACCATGGAGTATTATGTGCATAAAATATGTTGACCACGAATTGCATCCCCTTTATGCTCCTGTATAGATTTGATTCTATTGTCCAGAAAAAAAGGAAGAAGCAAAAAGACAATACGGAAGAGAGGGAACTTTTGTGCCTCATTATTTATTTGTATGAATTAGCTTCCATGGGGTAAACATTTATCCATTGAATCAAAGAAGTATGACCTCACTTAGAATGTAAACTGACTGCATATAGTTACTAACTAACTATATTGTGAGTGGTCGGTTTTCAATTGCATATTATTGAATATACAAAGAATTCTCTTGTGCTGTTCTACTGGGTATAGAATTATCCTTTTGGCTTTTGTCCATTCTTAAAGAAATACCGAATGTGGGTAGTACAGAGGAGAAAATTGTTAGGATATAAATAAGGTCTCATATCGATAAAATAAGAAAAGAAATAAAAGTTATAAAACACACATATACTCCAATGATTGAGACACCTTTTGTGAATGACCAAAAGCAAAATCGTGAGGACTTAGGCCTAAAACTGATAATATCTCACTATTATGGAGTACAAATACCGATAAAATAACCCTATCTTCTCCTGAATGAGAGGTTAGGTCCCTTATTTAAGAGGAGGATTGTTGGGATTCAGAGTCGTAGATTAACAAGTTATAATTAAAGTGATAAAAGGTTAGATTCCTTATTTAAGAGGAGGATTTAGAGTTGCAGGTTGGATTTGGTGACAACTAACAAGTTATAATTAAAGTAATAAGTGATAAAATGATATACAAAGACTCATTCCGCTAAATGAGAGGTTAGGTCCCTTGTTTGAGGGAAGGATAATTGAAATATAAATAAGGTCTCACATTGATAAAGAAAAAAAGAGAAGAAATAATAGTTTATAAAACTTACACATACTCCAATAATTGAGAGACTTTTTGGGAGATAACCAACTAGTTATAATGACCAATATTTCACCATTTTGAAGTTGTGTATAACCTTATAAAAATAACAACCTTATAAATATCCCCTTACTTCAAATAAATATCGACAAAATAATCCTAACAAGAATCACAGGAAATCATACAACTGATAAGGCAGTTATAGCCATAATTATGGAAAATTAAGGGAGAATTTTTAACATTGCTCCTCAAGCACTCCCACGTGGAGTAGGTTTCTTAGAGCATCTCCAAAGCAACCCCCATTGCAGATGCTCTTAGTTGTTGTTGACGAATCTTTAGTATGTCGTCAGACTTAAACAGTTCCTGCTTATATGCATTTCTTTGGGGTCTCTCTGATCAGAGCAAAATGTAGAAAATAAGAGACGAGTAATACTAAAAATTGTGTGCACGTAGCAACTCACTGTGCTTTCATTGAATAAGAGATGACCTTTAAATAGCCATTGTACAACGTACCGAATTAACAAAACGATAACAAAATATCTTATCAAAACAGATCTTATCAAAAAACTATCTTATCTAAAATGAAACAAACAAAACAGATAAACTAACTCGAATATCTCTAAAATTTAAGATTATCCAACAAAACTCCCCCATAAGCTTAAGTTTCTCCTTCTTCTTTCATTCCGAGTAACTTTCTTAACTCCTGAAATGTTGTTGCAGCTACTTGCTTTTTACTTCCTACGTGTTCGAGCTCCACGCTTCCCTCTTTCACCTTCTCCCTGATGAAATGAAATCGGACGTCGATGTGCTTACTTCTTTCGTGATTGATTGGATTTTTGGCTAACTCGATTGCCGACCTGTTATCTACTCGGATCAACACTTTCTCAGCTTTCATAATCTCCAGTTTGCTTAGCAAGTTTCTAAGCCAAACTGCATGTTGGACACTCCAAGATGCTGCTACATACTCGGCTTCACACGTCTCACTCTTCTCAATTGATCCGATCTCCTCATCCATTGCTTTCTTCCATCTCTCATCAAGTACGACCTCTTTAAATTTTATATCTTCTGTTCCTGTCAATAAACATACTACATGTAACTCGTCAGTGGAGTTGTAGATGTCTTGCAAGCTCCGAGTTCTAAGCTGCTCAGGTTCATCATCTTCCTTGGAATGCTCATTGGTCCTATCCGAGCTTCTCCCTATTATCTCCGAGCTCTCCCTCTCAGAGTTTGAGCTCCCTGAAGTCTTTTCAGAGTTACTCCAGCTCCACTCACTTTCCTCATCTACCTGGACATCTCGACTTATCAGAATTTTGCCTGTAACAGGGTTGTACAATTTGTAGGCTTTTGCCTTTTCATCATACCCGATCAAAATATACTTCTTGCTCATATCCTCAAGCTTCGTTCTGAGCTGAGCTGGAACATGACCGTAAGCAAGGCTTCCGAAGATCTTGAAGTGATGTATACTCGATTTTTGTCCACTCCATGCTTCTTGAGGTGTCACATCATCCAATTTTGAATGTGGGCACCTGTTCTGTATATATATAGCACACTGCACTGCCTCTGCCCAAAACTTCTCAGGCATATTCTTCCCTTTAAGCATAGCTCGAACCATATCAAGAATAGTCCGATTCTTTCTTTCAGCTAATCCATTTTGTTGTGGTGAATATGGAGCTGTGAGAAAACGTTTTATACCTTGCTCTTCACAGTATTCCATAAACTCTGCCGATGTGAATTCTCCACCTCTGTCCGACCTCAAAGCTTTAATTTGCTTGTTAGTCTCTTTCTCCACCATGACTTTAAACCTTTTAAAAGCTTCAAATGCCTTTGATTTTTCTTGCAAGAAATATACCCAGGTCTTTCGAGAGAAATCATCTATGAAAGAGATGAAATATTTCTTACCACTGAAGGATGCAGGAGAGATCGGTCCACACAAGTCAGTGTGTATCAGGCCAAGTTGCTCCTTTACTTTGTACTCGGACGAGT